GAGAAATTGGCCTACTTTGAGGTCAATGCTGCTGGGTGTAATAATACTACCGCACCTCTGGGATAATCCGAAAAATTGCAGTCAAACTCTGCTTGTCTCCAATACCATTCTTAGTCCTCTCATCTACCTGTAGTTTTCTCTTCTAGCAAGTATGTTCTCTAATAGCTTCAAAGCTTAGCTGTCTCATCATGTAATTTATCCATATGATCCCAACGCTTTCTTCAGGATATTGAATAAAATCAGGGATAGAATCTAGAAATAAATCAGAAAGCTAGGGAGTAAGGAATCCCCTTATCAAGGAGGCATAGGAAGTAAACCCCTCCAAAGGTCTGTCTTTTATAAATACATGCTCTCTTCATGGAGAAGGTTTTGAGCAAAATGTTACAGCTGGCTTTTGAGTCTTATTAAAGTTTGTACAGTTCTTCCAAAAAGAGAATGGGTAAAGGTACAATATTTTCAAAGGAAGCATTTCTGACAGTGGTGCAAAAATATATTTCCCATAACCAAGACTTTTGCAAGTCAGTAATAATTTTGGAAGCCCCAGTTTTACAAAATACACCCCTCACGTAAGACTGATTTCCTAAAAGTACCAAGCAAGTGCCCCCCCTGAAAATCAGTACATGCTGAATGTGTAGTATAATCCAACTTTGGGATTATACTACACAGAGTAGCGAACCACGCTATTGAATCCCACAGAAATCAGTGAGACTTACTGACATGCACAGAGATACCCATGCGTTTGAATGCTTTGCTATCTTGGAGGGCATCACAAGCTAGGGATGGGGCTTCCAGACCATGACGGGAAAGGCAGAGAGGCAGGATGGGAGAAGGATGGGTCAGGGTTAGAGTTTACTAACTGCCTATTTAAATTAAATGAATGGAAAAGCAGCCACAATCCATATGAACACTCGAGCATAGGTGTGGCTTGATCTTGAAGAGATTCATGGATTTGGCTTTGTCAGTAATGATCAAAAAGCTATCCAGCCTCCTGGAGTGGAGGACCAATCAAGACTAGACTGTTTTGGGAAACTTACTTTTTGGCCAGTAGGTCAGCAACACAAGGACAGACTTTTTTTTGGCATTTTAGGTCAGACACATCCAGACCTTCACCTAAAGTCCATTGAAGTCAATAGACCCTTGATGCCAGTGAACTTTATGCAAAATCCCTAATCCTGTAATTCATTGGGGTTTAGTTCAAGGGTTCATTTTCATGCAGACCTGTTCATTCTCTCTCACACAGAGTTAACTGTTTTAGAGGGTATTAGCTTCTTCTGAACATGTGTTACAAAAAGTGAATTGAACCCAGTTTTAAATATCTCTCCTGATTTGTAATAGTCCTTAAAGGCAACAGAAGGCTTATGTCCAATTACTATAATTCAGGCATCTCTAATGTGGGATGGCTTCTGCAAGTCAGTCAAAGTGCATGTATTCTCTACTTACTCTTTACAGACCTTTTCTAGTGTCCAGTCATAGAAAGAATTCATATAATAAAAGTGGTTTATATGTCTTAAAGATGTACCAATACTGCGAAATATTTGTATGGGAGCGTGCTTTAGCCACACATATGCCCCTTTTCTATCACTTTCTTTAAATATCTGTGCAATGCCACCTAATTTATCTGACTAATCAGAATTAATCTGCCCAGCACAATAATATGACTCAGAATGTGATCATTATAGCATGTAAAGAAGAAATTGGGGGACGGGAGCATTGGACAATTGCAGATAAATAAATGGAAGAAATCTCACTCAGTATAGAAATTTGCTGCAGCATGCAAAAAGAGCGTAAATTCCTGTGTCTTTGTGATCTATTTGCTTAGCTCTAAAATTAATCAAGTTGTATTTTGAGTCCTCAGGTATATTATAGCTACAAAGGAGGCAATGTGATGGAGTAGCGAGACTTGTAGGCAGGGAAACCAAAGATACTCAGTATTTGGCAGCATCAGACACACTGTTTTCACTGCTATAAGATTATGTTAATAGCCTATCCACTTTGCAAAGCACTTTGCACAACAGAGAGTCATCAGTCATCCCCTCTTTTTAAAGTTTATAAAGAATTGTGCCATTTCCCCATGGTTTTGGTAGATGGTTCCTTACATTTGTGAAGAGGTTATCTGGTGCACCAGCACATGCATTAGTGATGGAGCCTTGGATTTGCCTGAGGCTATAACTTGATTCACTTAGATGCTTAAGCCAGCATTGGGTTCGACAATAGAGTAATTTGTTGGGATGTGCTATAGCATTTACAACAGTCAAATAATTAACTCTCATTCATCCTTGAGTTAGTTCTTAGGCACCTAACTTCCTCAGGTACTTTTGAGGTCCCACTTAACCTAGAGCCAGCATTACCAAACCTATATGAAGAACATTAGGTTCTTAAATAAATCCACATTTAGATATTTCATTGGGTGGCTGGGCAGAGCCATCTTGCAACCTTGCATGCCATTAAATTCAATGCTAAAAGTTAGGAAACTAACAGCTGTCTTTCAGGGTTGACATACTGTGCCATGGCAGCAGCACCCTTTGTACTGACTGCCTCCTGAATTGGAAGCAATGTAGACACCTCTGCAAGGCATTGCAGGCAGGCCAATTAGCACTGCTGAGTGACAGTGCTAGTTAGCCAGTCCCCATACTAGTTAATCTGCCCCAGGGTAGGGTAGATGTGGCTATGTGTGGGAAAGGCTGGCCACATGGAGTGGGAGGACCCATTTTTTTGTGCTAGGTGTTTTTCACGGAGTCAAGCACAGGGTTGAGGATAGGGGTGGGGGGCACGCAGGAGGGAACAGTATCATACTTTGGTGCTCTAACAGACTGGGTAGTAACTGGCCTCTACTGCATGTGCAGCAACTGCCCTAGTTTGTACTTACATTTCCTGTGAAATTCCAGAATGAAACTTCCAGGTCTTATTCCATGGGAATTAAACATCAGTGACTGAAAGATTTCTGCACGTTCTGAGTCTGAGGGTTTTTCTGTTGAGTGAGGTCTTTCTTTTATTGGACCAGCTTTTGGGCTCTGAGTGCCCTTCCAACAGGTCCCAAAACTCCAGTATCACAAAGCCATTTCCTGAAGTTATTTGTCACAGTAAATTTACACCCTTAATGCTTCCCAGGGTTGGTTGGAGTCACATTTGTGCCACCATAAAAATTGTTATGTAACCATACATGATTTTTCTGACCAATCATAATTAATCAGCAAAGCTCAATAATATCAGAGACTCAGCATATGATCAGTATGGCATGTAAAGAAGGAATGGGGGGAAGGGAACATTGGACAATTGCAGATAAATAAATGGAAGAAATCTTACTCTGTTTAGAAATCTGCTCTAGTATGCAAGACTAAATTCCTGTGTCCTTGTGATCTATTTGCTTAGCTCTAGTATTAATCAAGTTGTGTATTGAGTCCTCAGGTATGTTATAGCTACAAGGGAGGCAATGTGATGGAGTGGCAGGCAAATAGACTTCCCTACCCTTTGTCAGGCCACATCAGTGGAAATTCAGTGGCGTGACAAAAGATAGTGATAAATTCTCTCTTTATCGTGGAGAATATCTGTTAGCTCTGTGGCAAGAGATTCCAGGCAGCCTGAGCTGTCTGCACTCTGCAGCCAACTTGGGCAGGTGATCTGGGGGCTTGAGAGTCCTTAAGCCCCTGGAGCACCTGTCTGGGTTTCCCCACTTACACAGGCACCTTGGAGAATCTCATGGTGCTGCTTTATAAGTGGGTTCCCCACTTACAGAGACACACCTTGGGATCTCCAGGGGCACATTTCTATAGGTGGGGAAAACTTGCAGGTCCCAGTTTAGAGGCACAGGACCCAGGGCCCAGGGACTCCTTAGTGCCCCATGTCTCCACGGTGGGGACCTGCTTACCCAGGCCAGCTGGAATCTCTGAGGGTGGATCTGGGTAAGCAGGGAAAGCACAACTCCATGTGCCACATCATGGCACAGCTGATCTACTTCATTCAGCAACATCTATTTCTAGCCCTAGAGTAAAAGGAGTTAACTTGCTTATTCTCTCTGTGGAAAGAAGACGCTAACACTCTGAAAATAAGGGTATGCTGCTTTTCTCAGTAATTCTTCTAATAATAAAGGCTTCCATTTAACATTTAGATTTGATCATTACAGAGTAAATAAAGGGTGATTGCTTGATTGTGGCTGATCTTTCCAAACTGCCCCAAAATTATATTGAATGATGTATAATTAATGACAGATCATGTAATTCTTTCTTCAAGTGTCACAGATATATTTGGAGTTGTATTTTTCTTTCCTTTGTTTTTTTTTAACCCACACCCCAGTTGTGCACAAAGTGGTAACCCCAGGAGAAACAGCCACCAGCGCAAAATCAATCAGCAGGAGGAGAGCTGCCAGAATCTGACGGACTTCACCCCAGCTCGTGTGCCCAGCAACCTGGACATATTTACAGCTTATAACGAAACACTGCAGTGCTCCCATGAGTGTGTCAGGACAGCTGTGCCTGTGTACACAGAGGAGGCATTGCACTCACCAGGGGATTATAAAACAACGTTCAATGGAAACAGGTAAGACAGGCATCGATCACAGTTTCCATGCACACTTACAATCTCACATTTATTTACAGTAGCTATTAGTCTCATTTTATTAATTTTACCAATGGAAGAAATTCTAGGGAATAATAAATCCAGCAATGACAAAATCCATCTTAGGAACAGTATGGCACAGAGAAACTCCAGTTGTTCTTTAAAGCCATGATGTGCCTCTTCTTTTTCCAAATTAACTGGTCAATTAGGTATATTTGCGAGGTGTCAATTTGGTTTGGTTTGCACAACCTGCTGTTTAGAACCACTAATGCAAAACTCACCCTCCAAACTGAGGACAAGCAATTACTCAGAGCCTTTGTGACCAGCAGGCATAGGACCTAATATTTATATTGCTTGTCACATGGCAACTCTAAGTAGTGGAGCTATTGTCCTTGCAATGCCAGTTGGCTTCACCTTGAACACATCTTGTTACACTGTGCTGCTTTGTAGCACCACACATTTTTCAATTCCCCTTGCCTACTTCAACAAAGAAATCTACCTCAAATTTGTCTTCCGGCATTTATATGCTGCTTTTTTTAAGCAGCATCTAAACAGCTGTTCAATTTCAAATGAGGAATTGTGATTAATGAAAGAATAGATTGCATGAATGAATCATGTGAATTATGTTATCTGGTATGAAATAATAATATATTAAGCAAGGAAACACGACAGGACTTTCTAGATGGAGGAATTTTAAAAATTGGGACATCATTCTGTCTTTTGCCTGTATGGGAAGGGAGGCTGGCTGGAGAACTTGGTAAGTGACCTCTTTCCACTGCAGATACTAGCCTTCAGTCAAAGTTTAATTGCATGGGGCACTGGTTCTGATTGAGTTGTGGGTTTTTTAGGAGGAGGTATTCATTAATGATTGGTGCAGAGATTTACCTAAATCGCTCCACACAGTAAATGTGTTTGCTGTCAGATGAAGAAAAAAACCCTGATGACTTTTAATGAAGGGGAGAACTCCCCAAAACGTCTTCAAATATATAATCTCATTGAACTATAAGTGACATTTAATGCACAGAGCCCTTATCCTAAGTGCATGAAGAATAGAAGCCTAAACTAAAGCCATTGTAATACACTTCTTTTTAAGTACCTTTGAATACCTTTGCGTGTGTGTGTGCGCACGCGCATGCGCGTGCATGACATTTGCTAGTTGCCATATTCTGGGGTTTCCACAGGTATTGGGAGGCAAAGAATTGGCAAGGATTTTCAAACCATTTCATTGAGTGTATGTATATGTTGGTTTTCACATGAACTCCAGCCAACCAATGCTGGGACATGAAGGGGAGCATTTTGTTTTGTTTTCCTGTCTTGTCTGTGTTTTGTCTGGAACACTGGCAATGTCGATTTTTTGCACTGCTTTTAATACCGTCCCTGATATGTGAGCATTGGTTGGAAGCGGTTCATTGCTTTTTTGTCTTAAAGTAATGCTTTTTTTGGAAATTATTGGCCTCCACAATTCTCCTTGAAGCCCAGTTCAATCAGAGCAGTCACTTTATAACTAACTAATGAGGGCAGTCCCAGTAGTCTACCAGCAGGCTCCCACAAACACTATATTTTTCCAGGTGACCCACCTCAGTGTGCCACAGCAATGCTGGGGTAGTGATCATTCCCTGTTACTTACACCTGGGAACAGGAAACACGAGAAAAGCAGCTCAAAGGAAAAGGAGCAAGAGGAGAAATACTTTAAAAAGAGGGAGATACTGTGATCCATGTTTGGACTACAACTTCTTAAATCAGTGATTTTCAACCTTTTTTCATTTGTGGATCCCTAAAAACATTTTAACAGAGGTGTGGACCCCTTTGGAAATGTTTAATGGAGGTGCAGACCCCTTTGAATTATAAGTGTGGATATTCATATGCTTTTGAGTGATCATAATAAACTTTTCTGGACTCCTCAGACATAGTCTTTGGACCCCCAGGGGTCAACGGGACACAGGTTGAAAACCACTACTCTAAAAAATTAGCTTGGTTCAGAGTTACTGTATTTCATTTATGGGATGGGGGACAAAAATGGCATCGCAATTCATCATCATCTTCCTGGTGCTAGCCTGATTTTGCAAAGGCCAATAAGCCCATCCAAAGCATTATTTTAGAGATTATTTTTTCCCTTTAAAAAAAAAAAAAAAGCTGATTTTGGCAGCAGGCCTGACTAGGCTTGCTTGTTGTGTGTTATGTACCAGCACGCGCAAGCCCATTTTTCTGCTCGCTGCAGACCCTCTTCTTCTGATCGGCATCTTATTCCAGTGGCCTTTGTGTCTGAGAAATGGTTTGAAATCTCCTGCTGACTGGCCGAAGTCTGTTTTACTTCCTGGGGGCAGGGCAGACGCCATGTGGCTATTTCCTGGTACGTACCACTCTTAAGAACTCTTTTCTTTTTTTGACCATCCCTGCTCTTGTACCTCTGAACGTGTCTGTGTGTAGCTAGACCCCCTTCACCAGTGTATCCCCTGTGTAATGCTAACCAACTAGTTGATTCTTGTATTTGACTTGCTTAAGTTAGCCTGCTTAGTAGATGGTAAATGCCTTCTGAGTTAAAAGGAAGATTTGGTATCAGGAGTCCTTTACTTTTATCCTGAATTAGAGATGAGCATGAACTGAAACTAAAGAATGTAGCCCCAGATTTCATTGGAGGGCATATGTTAGAGGGCAAAGCCAGAATGCCCAGATGCAAAAATGCCGTAAACATTTGAGGTAGTTCATCTCTGGATCCAAATTTTGGCCCACCCTAACACCTCCTTTAGGTTTAACAAATGATGCTAATTTCAGTGCTATAAAATGGCTTCCTTTTGCGATTAACTCTGTGTTGCATGCCAGATAGTCTACTTCATACTAGTGACCACACATATTCTATGCATTTTCCATCAATTTTCCAGAGCTCATCTGTCTGGGATTTTGGAACAAGCAACATTTTCATGCTTTCACTGCAACAGTAGCAGCAAAACCTTTCTTTTTCCTTCTGCAGGAAACCATATCTACCATCAACTATTCTGCCTGTGTAATCTAGGTTCAAAGCTTGGAGAAAGATGCAACCAAACTAATACAAATATATTTTTAGGAGTCATTTTCTTTTTTTTTTATCTTGTGCCATTTCTTCCTCCTTGTCTTTCTTTTGAAGGTGGCATTGCAGGTAGCAGTGGGAGGAAAAGCAATTAGGATTAACTATATGGCATTTTAGTGTAGGGCAGCAATGCCAGTTTGAGCCACACACTCAGGCAAATTAATTGGTCAATCCCAAATCCCTGCTGTAATGAATCACATATTCACGCTAAATGAAATTTCCAACCTTCCCTAACTGCAACTTACTTGGAATAGCCTGTTTAACATTATGCTCAGCTATTGAACACAGAAATGTAATTAGATTAGAATGGAAAGAGAATAAAAAGTTAATAGTCTCTGCTGCGGCTTGGTATGGTTGTGTCTGGCCAGGCAAGGTGAAATGCATACCTGTCTATGTGCATTGATTAGGGTGGGAGATAACAGAGAGCAAATATTTTATCAGGATTCTTATCACAGTCTATCCTCTTTGTCTGCAATAATATAATTATCATGCACATTAAAACCACACTCCTTTTGCAGTTCAAAATACACGTGGCAACCAAGAACTTCTCTTATGGCTGGAGGATTTTCATTTTTATTGTGGCAAAATCTCTGTACCAATCAGAGGCAGATGGACGGAAGACATTTCCATCGCATTTGTAAAAGAATATGAGATATACATCCCATTTTCTAAGTTATGCCCTCTGTGATAGCACTGGGCCCCAATTCAGTAGAGGCAACAAGTCTTTTACCACATGTGCAGATATTCTTTTGTGGTGATGCAGGATGACAGCCTGGATTGGCCAAGCCCCCATGTCATTAATGAGGGGAGGCAAGTCAAATAATGAAGCTCTGAACTACAGTTCATTCATTTTTGTATGGGAAGTGTACAACAAATGCCATGCCTCTTATTTGCCAAGCAGTTCTATCTGCAATATATTTCTAGAGGTACCCAGATAGTACTGGAGACCCTCACTGAGTTCTACTGGGGAGTGTTTGAATTCAGATCAGATTTTACTTCATCCAAAAAACTAAAACACGGGCTGGTTCAGACCTAAGTTTCATTACAGTCAGCCCTCCCTGCCCTCCACCTTCAATGAGAAGGAAAGAAGAGTGTCCAATTCAGGACCTCTTCCCCTTGTTTGTTTGGGTTTAAAAATAATAATTCAATGCTATTAAATTCCAAACTGCACACCAGTTGGCTGCCGTGAAGAGGGTGGAGACACTGTTCTCCCTTGTTACAAAGGACAGAAGTCTGGCAATGGGTCTAGACTACTGTAAAGTAGATCAGATGTCAGAAAAATGCTTCCTAACTGTGAGAACTGTAGGACAATGGAACGCGCTACCCAGAGAAACAGTGGCATCTCTTTCACGGGAGGTTATCAAGAAGAGGCTGGATAGTAATCACACTGAGACAGTATAGGAATAGCATATCTTGCATCCCTGCAAGGGGTTGAGCTAAATGATCCTTGAGGTCCCTTCTAGTTCCCTGAGTGATTTGGGATGAAGTCCTGGCTCACTGAAGTTAGTGTGAGGATTCCTCCTCATCCCTCCCCCTTCAGTCTAACAATATATTTTATAATTACAACGGCCGTGTCTGTTTTCACTCAGAATAGATGCTGATGCACAGCGCTTTTGTCAGTGGTAAAAAGCCCAGGAAGGGTGTCAGAGAACATAAACTGAAAAGATGATCTAAGTACATTTCCTTTAGAACAGGGGTTGGCAACATTTTTGGCCAACATTTTTGGCCTGCAGCCTCAACTTGTAAGATGTTGGTGTGCCAGGGGTGTACAGCAAAGAAGCCTCAAGAGGCCCGGTCATTGTTGTAGTAGTGGAGCCCTGGGCCCTTTCCCAATGCCTGAGTGCCAAGCAAAATGCCTTTGTGCGCCATGCTGTGGCACATGTGCCGGGGGTTGCCCACCCCTGCCTTAGAAGCACAGACCTCAATATTAGCTTCGAACTACAATTCGCCAATGGCCATACAGAAAAATAGTGTCAATCGACTGCCCAAAATCCCTACATAATAAACTTTGTGGCTTCCATGAGCTCTGCCTTCAAGCAATGAAAAATGTTTTTAATCCAAATATCCCCAGCAACCCTCACGTTTAAAATAGAAATTAAGTAAAATAATTACCTCTGGGACACTGTCTCCTATAGGAAATCTATGAAGCTTCTGCTGATATTTATTGAGGTTTTATAAAATTCTGTACCAGAAATTAAAGCCTCAATACTTTTCAATAGGTTTTTCAAAATAATTCCATGACAAGTCTGTCATGCTTTGTTAAAGTCTTAAAATTTAGCATTGATTTATTTTCATGGAACCCATAAAATGTCTATTGACATGCTCTGGAAAATCTATAAAAAATTTACTTGGAACATTAGGCCTTTAATAATATTTAAAATATTAATAAAGTCCTGGAAGCTGATGTTGCATTCCATTAATATTAATATGATAAGACTTCCCCTGAAACAAATGCAAGGCTAATCCTAATTTTAAGCTACACACTCTTTGCATGCTTGCATATTTTTACTGGACTGAATCATTTTAAACATGTTTTTCTTAAACAAATTTACTACATAGATTTCAGTAGCATATGGATGCTTTTGTCTGAGGATGGTCTCACGGTCTGGATAACAGATGAAATTATCTCCAAACTGAAGCAAACAAAATCTCTTTAAAAGCCAGTGGAAAAGTTGTTTATTTTTCTCCCTATGCTGGTTATTTTTCATGCACATTTGTCTCTGCCTTTCAGACAGGCTGTCCGGACTGGAAGGAGGAACTATCAGAAATATTGTATGATAAGGTTTCCAAGGAAGATTTGTAGCACTCTGTTACTTTGACATTTCTGGAGCTCAGCCTTCAGACTTTTAGGCAGAGGTGCTCTAGAAAGCATTAGGGCTAGGGACAGACATTCTAAAAGCCTGAGCCTGAATTGATTCAATCTTTGCAGGTTAGTCTAACCTGCAAAGCTTGAACCGATTTGGAAGTGGATCAACATTCCCTTTTCATTCCAGAAATGCAGGCGCCCTTTCCCTTCCATAGTACTGAGCTTAGGAGGGTGGGGGGCATGGCCAGGCCCCTGCAGGATGCTCTGATTAGGGAGGGATTCCCCCCACCACCACCCAGCAGCCCAGCAGGGAGTTGATAACACAGTGTTTATCACCCCTAACTCAGTGTTTATCAGCCCATTAAGAAAACAAAAGCCTCTGTCATTAGTTCAAGCTCTTCTTAAACAACTTTTTTCCAAGGATGGAATAGAGGGAAATTTCCAGCTACCTGTTGATTAGCTCCAAAAAGCCCTAAATCAATACATTCCTATCTGCCTTTGCTCTGTCTCACACACCACAGGCCGTACCCAGCATGTGGTATGCTAGCTAATACTGAGAGGGGTCTGTGTAAGGCAGAGGGGAGGGAGGAATCCCTGCTTGAGCAGGGAGTGGTGAGGGGGAGGGAAAAAGCAGGAGGAAGCCAGGCAGACCCCGCTGTAGAGCAGGAGGAAGCCAGGCAGACCTTGCTGTATGTGCAGTCTCTGCCTGAGCTGCAGCCAGGGAGCAGAGGGGAGGAGCCAACCCTGCTCTCTGAAGCAGAGAGCACCGCCCAGCCCAGAGAGCATCCTAGGATGCTGGGGGACTCTGATTTAACTTAAAGCAGGAAGGGGTCTGGGACAAAAGTTTCATAAACTGGTTTGACCCAAATCAGTTAAGTCTGATACTACATTCAACCAGGTTTATCTCAAACTGGTTTCAGCCATTTTCAAACTGGTTTATGTGCACTGAACATCTGTTCTGTCACAGGTTTAAACCAGTTTCTGATCACTTAAATCGGTTTATATGCAATGTCTGTCCCTAGCCTAGGTGCCCAGCTCCTACTTATTTTTCAAATACCCCTGAAAATTCCAATTGAAACATGTAGGACCAGGGTCTATGGAATAGCCTGCATGCAAAAGGCTCTCCCGATTCACATGAGTTTGCAGGATCAGGATTTTATCAGGACCAAATTGAATATCTTAAGGACAACATGCTCATGGAATGAATAGCTTGGTTGCTTGTACTGGGTGAGATATTTAACTCATGAATTGTTCCTTGTCATTACTGTTACAATGTGCTGTCACTGGACAGACTAAGTGCATGGAAAAGCTGTGAGGTTGAGACTGCAACTGCCTCCTATTACTAGTACTGAAAGTGATGGAAAATCTACTTAGAAGTTCTTACATACCCCAGCGGTCTGCTGTACAGGTGAATATCTTCACCACAGGATTTTATAGTACTAGCAAAGTAGCCTGAAGGTGACTGACTCAACTTTAACTG